AAAAAAAAATCCAAAATTTGGAAATGGAATCAATGCCACAGAATGGATCATGATGAAAGGAGGTGTAGTAAAATGGACTGAAACTTGCTAATACTAAACACAGGAAGTATAAAAATTAACTGTGCCATGAGGTTTGGGTGGTCTGTCTGTGTGCGTGTGTGGTCAGGGTTTCCTGTTCCTGTGGCTCGGTCTCTTTGCTCGCTGCTGGAGGTTTTTGTTGTTGGCTTTGGGATTCGCTTGCTTTTCACCCTGGCTCCAGCCTGCCTGGATTCTGCCCTCACTAGCTCTCTCTTGCCTGCACGTATCTGCCTTCCCTCCTGCTGGGCACTTGGCAGGACACCGGCTGTTCTCCAAGTCTCGAGTGCAGCGTCGGCTTTGCTCCACTCCTTCACCTGACCCAGCTGCTGCCTGCCCTGTGTGAGCCACCCGCCTGCCTCCAACCTCGCCCGCCACCACCATCTCCTCCACGACTCTGTCCAAGGTCCTGGAGTGACCTCCTGCCCGACTGTCCACTCACCGCGTCACCACAAGAGCCACACTCCTCTCCCTGAGCTGCACTCCTTCCAGCAGCAATGTACTCACCCCTGTCACATGGACGTCGACAGCACCCCCAGTCCTACTGGTGATAACGCCTGCTTTCTCCCTCTGTCTCCTTTCTCTCTCTCCCCATTTCTTTTCCATTTTCCTTTCTCTTTTGCTATCTTTCCCAGCTCCCTTTCATGGACAATTACTTATCGTTTTTGTTGCCATTAAACGATTCTCAGATACAAAGTTTGTCTCGTTTGGCTTAATTTCATTCTTGACCATCCATTTAAAACGAACTTGCAGTTCCCATGGTTGGAACGCGACAACAAGAACCATAAGAGATATGGATGAAACCTTGCTGAAATTATGCTCATTGACATCACAAGATTTCATTTCCTTTCCTGAAAGGAAATGAAATTCTGAAATCAGAGAACAAATGGAACAAACACAATAGCAAAGAGATATGATTAGATATAATGTGATTATGAAAAAAAAAAAAAGTCCAAAATTTGGAAATTGAGTCAATTCCACAGAATGGATTGTGATGAAAGGAGGTGCAGTAAAACGGACTGAAACTTGCCCAAACTAAACACATTGATATCGTGAAACCAGGTGGAAACAATTAAAATGCAGAGATGACATGAAGTATAAGAGATATAGACAAAACATTGCTGAAATGATGCTCATTGAAGTTTCAAGATTTCCTTTCAGGAAAGGAAATTAAATCCTGAAATCAGAGAACAAATGGAACAAACACTCTGGAAAGGAGATATGATAAAATGAAATGCTATTGAAA